CACAGGAATTCAATCTTAAAGCACATAAGATGGAAATATGCTAAAAACATGTTTTTGTACTTAAGGCATGAGAGAGGAAGAGTTTTCCTCTGAGCTAGCATGAATGTAATTGCTAAAAATCAAACCATTTCTGATTTATGGACTGAAAAAGAGGCTCTCGTAATCACACCATAAAGAATCTTGTAATCAAGGTGTGTTGTTATTGAGAAATATTACACAGGACCTTTAGCCTGTAGTCATGCAAAAGTCACGTAGGACTTGATAAAAAAATAACCGGGAAAGCCAACAGCTGGCCATACCTAATCATAAAATACTACCTTGTTCGTACCACTGAATATGTTGTATGTGGTAAGCCCATTTGAAATACTGTACTTTTCAGGAAATTTTATATAGACATACTGAATGACACACTTACAATTTTTTAACGTTGACTGATGCTTTTTATGTGGATTTTCAGAATTTATTCTTTAACCATGGTCACATTCAACACTTTTAAAAAATCTTAAGATACAGATGCACTGTAAGAAAAAAAAAACTGATTTTTTTTTTTGCATATAGTAAGTAGGTATCTCCAGAACCACAGCTAAGTGCTTTAGCGAAATGACTGGAAGTCTCAGGGATTGTCTAAGCAGCTTCTCTCAAAATTAAGAAAACACACTTTCTAGCAACTCCAAAGCTGGGTGGCTAGCCCTCTGTGCTTATTAATGAAGCATATTAATGAAGTGTATGAATGAATAAAAATAATGAAGTAAAAGCAGTTTCAGATCCAGTTATTTTCACAACTATCTATGTTGAACGGCGCATTCACTTATCCACCATGTGCACTGATATTTGGGTACGCAGCCTCTCACGCCACAGCTGGCCAATGGGGTCTCCTGATGGTACCAATTTATTAACAGATATACTAAACTATGCCTTTAGCCTTAGGCGTCAAGAGTCGCTAAGAGTATTTCCTCAGTATCTCCTAAGGAGCCAAATGGCCTGAGCATTGGTTCCAGTGATATCTACATACTGAGCCCTGAGAAATGAAAGTGCTGCTGACGTGTTGCAGAACTCAAGGTAAGTAGATAAAAGGGTTTGCTGCCAGAATGTCACAGTACCCCTTCGGGCAGCACTGCAGTTCTCCTGCGCACTACTACAAAATAAAAAAAAAGAGTATTTTTAGGGCAGCGTCTGGCTTAACGTGTATGCACATGCTGGCCCACATTCCTCCAACTTGACAGAAGAGGTAACAACGGTGGAATGGGGAAACAAATACCGGCATGACAAATTGGGACAAAAATAACAAATGGAGATATACAAACATCTTTCTAATGCAGTAAATCAAGGAAAAGTGGATAAGTACCGCTAAATGTATGAATGGATCTAACATGGTACAGTGTAGTGTGAGAACATAATACAGAATTCACTCACTTGACCTAATTGACACACCAAAGTTCCAAAGCAAACTCGAGCAGAAACACATGAGCGACGCTGCAGCCAATGGCAAAGCTGGGAACATTCACAGGAAATACCTGTGGAAAGACTTCCTTCTCTTAAGCTTTTGTTCTGTCCAAAGCCATTTCCTGTCATGAAAATATGCAGTCAGAAGTTATCCCTTTTGTTGTTGTGTGATCTGCATCTCAAAGACCGATTCTTTTCTGCAACGGTAAATTAGGCCCAACATTTTTTCTGGAAATCAATACTTTGAGAATGACCGCAAATAGCCAACAGCGACAGATGGCTCGCAGAGCATACATTCAGTTCATAGCGGATCCTATATTACTTTGAGACAAGGGGGGGAAAAACATTTATCGCTTTACAGGAAAGGTGTACGTAATGCGTTTAAAATATCAGACTCACAGTTACAGAATGAATGATGGTTGCTGAGGTTTTTTTGGCACGTATTTGACTCAATTAATGAGAGTCAGGGTAGGGGACCCTGGCACAGCATACGGTACTGGTTAAGTTCTTGTTACCTTTAATGGAACTCACACAGCCAAAATCCAAAGTTCAAGAGCAGCCATAAACACGTTCGAGTCCTCCCACCCCACCCACACACACACATACACACACGCCCTCCTTAAATTTTCCTTCATTGTAGTGGCATGGTAAGAAAATTCAAGAATAGATGGAGTCAAGGTGGAATTAATATTTGCTTGTCTGGAAAGATTGTCACGTATCATATTCGATGGCTGCGAAAAAAAAATATGGGGCACATCAAGCCAGGCTGGGTTTTACTTCTTGGAAACTCGGGGGAGGGGGTAGCACTTAAGGTGGCAGTGGTCGGGGCGGGGGTGCTGCAGCGGTCACATCTCTGCAAACATATGACGTAAAAAGCTCTGACGCACTTGAAGAAGACGAGCTTACCGTCTGCAATTATCTCAGGAAATGACTAATTTCATCGACCTAAATTCTCACACTCAAAAAATCCTTGCACTCAACAAAAAACAAACAAAAAAAGAAAACTTCCTCGGACCTTGGGCCGCATACTTAATTAGCAGTGGAGTTATACTTCCAAGCCTCTCATTAACTTTTCCAGTCCTGCTCCAGTGGTTTCCACTAATTCATTTATTAAATAACAGGTTGCCCTGTGTAGACAAGGGAAGCAGAAACCAGAGGACCCTGTTAAAATGTTGAGGCATTGCTCAACTTTCCACTGTATATACTGAGAATGCACACAAAACAGAACATGAAAACTCTCTTGTTTTTCCCCTCAAGAATGTATTGCTCAGGTCAAATGAGCATACAGGTCAACTGAGCTTTTACCATATCAAGCATTCGTGACAGAATGGAAAATTCCACTACTGTAGCGTTGCATGCTATTCAGGTAAATCACACAGCTCTGGACTACAGCAGCAAGGCCCCACCAAGGATATGAACCTGCAACCCTCAAGCTGCTCGTGATGATTCCCTTACCACCTTGCCACCCTTTGGCCTAGGTATGGATTGCCATTGTTTGTCCTCTGCAGACATTTTTAAATGGTGTGTGTGTGAGTGTGTGTATCTATTTCACCTCACTGACATCACATCTCATTATTATTTAAGATGATCAATAATTCAGCCCCTAAAGTCAGCTAAAGGGGTAAACCTGGTCCCCTTAGTTACCTCTCCACCTCCTCATCAGACCAAATAATTTAAATCTCTTTAATAAATTCAAATTTAATGGATACATGCGCGTGGAAATAGGCAACAGCATCCCGCACCATGAACTTACACACAGTGTGATCTCTGAAATAACTACACAAGATGATGAGAGCAAAGACTCCCGGTCCATCTTGGCTCCTCGTTTAAAAGCGATCCTCATTACAATTTTCTTATCCTTTCCCTTTATCTCAGTGCCACAGAGTCATCTCAGCGCAGTGAATTAAACAGCTACAGGCGAAACACTTAGGAGTAAAATTTCCATTCAATTGTTTCACTTCCACAGTGTCAGCAAACTATAAAATCTCAGCTAAGTGTTGACTTGATTTTATGTATACCCCCCCCCCCCCCCCCCCCCCCCCTGAAATATACACATAAAGACTGTATTGGATTAATTTGAGTCTCTTTGTTTTTCAGTCCCTGATTTTGATTTTGAAAAGGACAAAAAACTTTATGATAATGTCTAAGATTAGACTGAAGTCATGTCAGCGTTCCAGCAATGCCAGTTAGAATCCTTTGAAGTCTGAGCCCGAGAGCTTTAAGCTGCCAGTCACAATAGCATTGGGGCTACGGGGACACACTGTACACATTTTAACTGTTCCCAACCACTTTCTGCGCCATCAGTTTTTTAATAGTCAGCGAAAGGTAACGGCTTTTATAAATCTCTTTTCTTAATACTTTTCATTCGTGCAGATCTAACAACTTTAACTCTTTCCACCAAAGGTCTAGTGCACGTTTCCCTACAATCATATACAGGCACTATCATAATGTAAGAATCAGATTTTCTGTACTTTTGCATATTTTTGATACTGAATGTCACAAGATCTTCAACCAAAACCTAATATTAGATAAAAAAGGAACTTGAGTGAACAAACAACACACACTTCTGAGACTTATTTATTTATGAGAGAAAGTATGCAACAGTCAATGTCCCATGTGTATAGTAATTGCCCCTTACGCCACCTTCAGCAACAGTGACTTCAGCCAAATGCCTGTGGTTGTCGATCCCTCCCTCACGGTGCCGTGGAGGAATTTTGGCCTGTTCCTCCCAGCAGAACTGCTCGTTTCAGGACCTGTCACAGTATCACAATGGGGTTTGGGTCTGATGTTTGAGAGGGCCTTTCCGGAAATTTCCATTTCATGTTCTTCGGCCATTTTGCTATGGGCTTGGTTGAGTGTATGGGATCATGGAGAACCAAAATTTCTTCTTGACTCCGCTTAGAATTTCCCAATTCAAAAACTGTAGAGAATTTTTTTTTCAAATTGCACAGTAAAAAAACTGTGAAGTAAAATTATTAAATATAACTCATGGTTTTGGGTGGGACTGATTCTAGCTATTATAGTTTTTTTTTATGTCATTTAGTGACAATTATTATAATCTCTGGATGGCACAGATACAATTGATTATGAGCAATACCTAGAAAAAGTGACAGAACAAACAACACTCTCCTGTACTTTATTACTGACAGTTTGGAAATGTATCATATCCATGTGTATTCAAGTACAGAATCATAGACTGTACAATATAATGTCAACTGTGTTATGCTGATGATACAAAAAAAATGTGCTCATTCTTGCACCCTGCACCTTTTCACCTTTAATCACCGAAATGATCTGTATTGTTAGAAGCGACTGAGTAATACTACACCATTCTCTCACAGTTTCCTTGTTTCATTGTTGAGAAATCACTTGCTGGAAACAAACCCATTCATGATTCCATGAATAAATTCATACAGAAATAAGGGGCGTGGCCTAGCCAGTGCGTTGATGACATATTCACTTCAGTCCTCTGTTGTCTTCCTACATGACCAGGACATACAGTACAGGCCTTGTATATTACATATGTATACATATTATGTATACATATGTAGTACACAAGGCCTGTAGTCTAGCGGTTAAGGTACATGACTGGGACCCCTGAGATTGGCCGTTCGAACCCCAGTTTTGGATAAAAGTGCCAGCTAAATGACTGTAACATAGTGTAGCAAAGCTTCAGCTTCCTCTCACAAATGGATGACATGAAATTCACCCACAGATGTCTCTGACACAGAGCAGAATTAATCTTTCCTTCATGTGATAGCAAGTCAACCCGATGTAGCATAAGCATCCTCAAGCCATGGCACTACACTACCATGCTTGACCACTGGCATGAGTCCGTAACTATGGAACGCAGGGTTGGTTTTCGTTTCATGTTGACCAAAAAGTTAACCATCAACAACTTTGCTCCAGGACTCCAGAGGAACATCAAGGTGCCTGAGACATCACTTGAAACAAGCATTCATGTTTTTTCAGGTGGTGGTTTCTACCTTGCACTGAATCCTTTTTGAGACCCCAAGTTTTCTGGAGTCACAAACGCTGACCTTATCTGAAGCATGACAGGCCTCGGATACCAGAACATCCCTGGATGCTGTTGCCGGGCTCTTTGTGACTTCCTGGATGAATCCACATCTTGCTCTTGGAGAGATTTTGGCAGGACAGCTATTCCTGGGGAGATTCACCACTATCCAAATCTTTCTCCATTTGGACAATATGCTTCTGACAGCTGCTCTGTGGAGCCCCACGGACTTGAAAATCTCTTTGTAACTCCTTCCAGAAAGATAGGCATTAAACAACTGTGTAAAGGTCTCCAGGAATTTCTTTTCATCAGGGTCTAACTTGCCTCTGGAACCTGTAAGATTATTTGTGTCGGGCCTGGCTGGCCCAAACTAGGTCTGATTATTTACCAAGAACAGCTGACCCTAATTACATTTAATTGGGCTGAGTTAATAATAAAATTTTCACACCTGAAGATTGCAAATTTGATTAGCTTGTAAGAGCTAAACAAATAACAGATGAACCAAAGTTTGGAGTTGTTTTTCCCCTACGACCCACATAATAATCAATGAATAGAATGTGCAAAAATTATGACATCAGAAAGGGGCAAATACATTTTTCACAGAACTGTACTTATCATATATTCATGTATTTATTTATTCATAAATGGCACCGTGGATTGACTTTGTTTTCCGATAAGTGGCGACCGACTGAATTAAACCTATATACGTCACTTCAGCCTCTGTGATGTCCTTTCATTAGCCATGCTCGCAAAAATGCTAAACCCTCCTCTAAAATCACACACTTACAGCAAATTGTTTATTTTTTTTTGTTTGAATCGTAAGAAACTTGCTTATAAATCAGCAATCACCCCATCCATAAACCTATATTCCTTCCTACCATCACAGCCAGGAATGAGGACAGATTCTTTAGTCTTCCTACACCTCATCTCCCAGAAACACTCATGTCTTTCTTTTAATTCACAAGGCATCAATTGCGCAACTCATCTATAAAAAGGAGAAGTGACATTGTTTTTGTCCCTTTAAAAAAAAACCAAACCACTTCAGTGGAAAAAAAGGCCAAGCACATGCTTTCTCTCGTTCCGATAACTACCTTAACGTGGTGTCGTCTTGCAAGGTCTGGCCTCTTGCAGAATGCCTGTAGTTTCTTAAGGAGTTGCTCAGGTGTTGAGTACAGATACTCAGCTGCCAGGAGTGGGGAGAGGAAAAAAGTAAAAATGCATATTTTATGAAACAAAACCTCAAAGCAGAACCTAGATATTAGTCACTTTAGCAATTAAAAATGTATATTGCTCTGTGGCGTCTCATGTTGTACATTATTAAACAAGATTTTTTACCTCAGCTCAAAAGGATTTTTAATGCAAAACAGGCTGTGCACTGTGGCTGTGTGCTTTCGCCTTATTTCCTTCGGGTAAATTAAAAGTCTCACACTGAATGGAAAACATCAAAAATCTTACACATGCATACATTTACTGATCACTTCTGTGGACTGAAAAATAACAACACGTAAAATGGAGAAGTGAACCAAACTGTGGAACTACGTTCAGCTGCAATAGCCTTGCTTGTTTCTTTTTATGTGGGACTGACACGTTTTCAACAGCTCATGAAAATATATTGAAGCCCACGTCTCTCACAAAGATGTACATGAGAAACGTTTTTTGTAACATGTTAAAACGTACACTGACAGCATACACATACATTTAAGCTTGTTAAAAGTGTGATGCGCCAGTAAATAAACTTCAGGGACATTGAGAGGCAGTTAAATACTCACCAGGAAATATTTCAGGATACACCAATGCCTTCGGACATAGAGGATAGCAGCCGCAATGAACAGCCTCTAACCTTAAGTAAAACAACAAAAAATACAATAACTCCCTAATATTAAAATAAACACTGATAACATTAAAACCTCCCTCCAACTGCACATGCAAAAAAACATACACAGTGAGCCATTTTCGTAAGTATACAGAGTGAGAGGACCGCAAAGGTGTTTTCTTACCATCTCTGAGAAAAACCAAAAGTGTACCTTTAGAGCAAGCAGAGTGACAGTCCTGGTTCTCCTCCATACAGCGGGATGCAAAGTTTGAATACTGCCTTCAGCGAGGCATCTATGTTTACAGTGAGCGGAATGATTTAAAGGCAGGGATCTGGTCCGCATTAACAGCTGTTTTAGAGGAAAATTCTCAGATCTTAGAACCCTTATGGAGATTACAAACAGCGCTGACATTCCCCCGCAAAATGGACATACAATTACCGTGCTTCCCAGCGAGATGCAAGAGGTCTCCGACTCACACGCCTTTTAAAACGTTAACGCTAGCTTGTTTACCTGAGGTTTACCTGCTGGATTTTACTTTCTTCCAAAAGTCTTATTCTACACACAGAGTAGCTCTGAAATAAAAATTAAACAGTTATTCTGAAAAGCAGCAACATTGTTGCCAATGTTACATATCCTGTGCAATTTTGGGTTATTTCTTGCGGCCACTCACCACCCTTATATCAAGTCATTAATGTCACAAATACACGTTATATTATGTATGTTGGTAGATTTGCACTATCCAAGCAATGGTGGGTAATTTAATAAATCTACAATGGTTAAAAATAAGCGCATGAGACACACAAGATAAAACGCGTTATTTGATCTGTTTACATCCCCGCTGGCAGAACAGCTGAGAGAGGAAGGCCTGCTCACATGTTTGAGATAGTTTGCATTATTAAGAAACAAAAAATAAAAACAGGACCCGGGGAAAATTCCACGACATCTCCAAAGAAGGGTGCAGTATAGTGAGCATTTTTAAATGGGTAACATTATATTCAGCCATATATTTATGCTATATTTGTGACGTACAATACTGAAGCTGTATAAAATTGATAATTATTAAAACTGTGAGGTATATCTAACAAGCAAAAATAAATTGTGATCATTATTATTATCAACAACAACAATAATAATAATAATAACAATAATAATAATTTCAAAATTAATAATCTCCAGCAAAAAGGATGTGAGTATGGACTGTAATGTATGGAATGCTATTATAAAAATACAAATTAATAACCCCTAATCTATCAACTTTTTTATTTCTACATTATTGGTGTAATTAAATACAACATTAAAAAGCTCATAAAGAATGAGCTTACGTCATTTCAGAGTATTTGTTGGTAGAAAAAGATGTTCAGCAGACTGTCAGCATTTTGCTCTTACTGCCCTATCCTGTAGGTTTCACGGTGATCTTTACCGTTGATCACAGGTTACAAAGGGTTAACAACATTTAACTGTGTGCAGTCCACGTTTACCTGCATGATCGCATGTGTTGTGCACAGCTAATAATGTGCCGTTGAAAAAGCACTGACTGCAGTGTAAGGGAGGCAGAGCAGAGATAAACTACACTCCTTCATTAAAATGGCATAAAAATAGATTTTAATACCAACATTGCCATGTCAGAGATTCTCACACGCTGCCATTGTATACGGCCGTACTTATGATTTTCAATATGTCCTTTGAGGCTGTTAATTACACAGTATATAATGAAATTCAATTAAAATGCACACCAGCAAAGGAAACGAAGCCATCTAAAATTCTAAAAATATAAATTAGAAGACAGAATTACAAGGTGGTAATTCCTTCAATAGATTTCCAATTATTTGCAAATGCACACTGCAGCGAATTTAACTATCATGATATACATTTCTGCAGTCACTCAAAAGGCTGGAGAAAATAGCGCGACAATTGGAGCTGTGAATTTCTATGGTTTACTCTTATAAGAGAGCCCCTTTTTGGTGCCATTATGCTAATATAAAAATTGACCGAGGTTTATTTATTGAATTCAACGCAGGATTCTAACTGATCTGGTGTCAAAATGGCAAGACAATGCTTCCTGTTCCAATTAAGGCATTGTCGACAAAAATCTATGAAGATTAATATTGAGGAGCGTTATTCACTTCACTATTCAAGTCCCATAATATGTATGCAAATAGTTACTGGGCTTTTGATTCTAAACATAATTAGCTGATAATTTTGTTTGGCTGAATTACTTTTTTTCCTGCAGGGTGAAAAGAGGTTTCAGCTGCATTATTCTGCAAGCCTGAATCAAAGTCTATTTAGTTGTAATGAGAAGGGGACACAATATAACACCTTCATTCAAGTCTCTGCAAGGACCGTCCTTTCTAGACAGCAAGCTATGCGACTGCTGAAATACAGCAGGCACCAAAACAACTTCTTCCTTGACAAAATGGAGGAAGGATACAGTTAAAAAAAAATCTACAGAGAAAAAATACATATATTGATACTTTGGAAATGATTGTTGTGGTTGCAGTTAACTGGATTCTGTCATGCTAAGCTAATGAACATCTTACAGTAAACTGAGAGATTACTGTATTGTACGTGTATGAGCATAATTAACATGTAAAATGCTTGCATTGCCCGGCCGCCTTTATGAGGATGCTGCTGTAGTTTCACTGTTACAGTGTAAATGTGCTTTATTTTAACATAAGTGCCTAAGGGGGCGACAGGGTAAGTTGAGGGACCCTTATCACCATGGTTTCCAGGGTCAGAGTTTCGCCCATGGGTGGTGCAGGGGTGAGAGGGAGGAGAGGGGCAGGGAGAACGAAAAAATC